GACAGTTCTGCAGATATTTCCCGATTGGGAGGATTGCCGTTTTGGGAAATGAATTGCGTATTTTCAAAACAATAACAAAGCCTGTTTTCAGCGCAAAAATCAAAACAAAAACATTGCTGTTGAGAGGGATAGAGACAGCTTCAGAGAATTTACAAGTAGACAGCGAGTGTAAGCCGTGGCGGTTGTGTAATAGGCTTTGTTAAGACGACAGAGAGGTACTATCAGGGTAATAGGAGAATTAGAAGGGAGACTGTGCTGAGAACGGGCACTGGAGTGAGGTCGTAGCCCAAGAGAATTTGCATCTCAGGTCATCGCCATGTTAGTGAGCTGGCGAGTGAGCTGTCAACAGGTTCGAGCGGCGCAGCGGCCTGGCACACTGATGCCAGTACGGTGGAAGACAACGTTCAAAGAGCAGCCAAGGATCAATGCTGTTGGCATTCAGTACCTCTCGCACCACCTGGATAGACAGGTATTCCCTTCAAAGAGGCAATCAGAAGGGTTGCGGTCTGAAGAGGATGAGCGGTTGATCGACATATCGAAGAGCTACTTGCAGAGGCATGGCCTGCTGGGGAAGAAGACATCGATTAAGGAGCCCATCAGCTTTGATCTACCGAAGCTACAGGGGAATAATTTGGATGAACACTTCAGAAGGTTAGCACTGTTCGCCTCAGACCCATATCTACAGTACGCTAAGGACTTTGCTGAGGTGACGCTGCCTCCCAAACCGAAGGAGTTCCTGTTCAAGTCAGGATGGCTCAAGTACACACGGGATGGTGATGTTGTTGAAGTTGCGTATCCGGAAGGTGACGCCCTTGTATTTGACGTTGAGACGTTGTACAAAGTGTCTCATTACCCGATAATGGCAACAGCAGCTACAAAGGATGCTTGGTATGGCTGGGTTTCCCCCAAGCTAACTGGTGAATCTGAATCGTTTGAACATCTCATACCTCTCAATACTGTTCAGCAGAAAAGGGTCATCGTTGGTCACAATGTTAGTTATGATCGTTCTCGTGTGAAGGAGGAGTACAGTTTAGCAGAATCCAAGGCTTTCTATCTGGACACAATGGCTTTGCACATTGCAGTTTCTGGAATGTGCTCACAACAAAGGATCAAGTGGATGGAACATCGCAAGCTCAAGCATGCCGAGGAACTTGACGAGGAGGAAATCAGAGATTCTGAAATTAATGACCCCTGGGTCAACTATAGCAGTCCAAATTCTTTGGCGGATGTTACTGAGTTTTATTTCAAGGAAAACATTGACAAATCAATCAGAGACACATTCTCAGAACTTGATATCCAAGTAATTCGTGATGACTTCCAGAACTTGATAGGTTACTGTGCCAAAGATGTTGCAACTACACACAGGATTTATTCACATGTATTACCAGAGTTCCTAGAGAGTTCTCCACATCCTGTCTCATTCGCAGCTTTGAAATTTATGGGAACAGGTATTTTAACTACAAACAAGAGTTGGGAATCCTATTTAGAAAGTTCTGAAAAGCTTTACCAAGAAAGTCGCTCTCACATTGAATCAAGCTTGAGAGAACTAGCCGAGGAGGCTGTGTCTTTGAGAGACTCACCAGAAATTTATATGAAAGACCCCTGGTTGAAACAATTGAACTGGAAATCTACACCGCAAAAGTTTAGAAAGGATGGTCAACCGTACAAGAAGCAGAAACTTCCAGGATACCCAGAATGGTATAAGGAGCTCTACGACTCAAAGGATCAAACTTTACGTTTAACTACAAGAGGGAGAGTAACACCATTACTACTGAAACTGAAGTGGGAAGGATATCCAGTGATATGGAATGATCATTATGGTTGGTGTTTTGAGGCACCCAGATCGAAACGTGAAGAATTGCTGCAAAAGAATTACATCCTTGAAAAGGATTTCTTGAAGACATATGGAACGAAAAGGCCAACTAAGGGCAAACAAAAGAAAGATGTAACTGAAGAGGATCTATTGGGTCAAACGGAATCTGAAATTGAGTCCTTTTGGAACAAGGACCCCGAGACATCTGAGTTCGTTTACTTTAGAATTCCAAACAATGTTGGTCCGTTGCACCGGACAAGTCTACTACTGTCTAAAGGCTTCTCCAATGCGTTCGAGAAGAATATTCTTTCATCTGATAACCCAGTTGCTCAACAAGCCCTTCAGATGAATGCTAGTTGCAGTTACTGGATCAGTGCACGTGAACGTATCATGAATCAGTTTGTTATTCACAAGACAAAGAACTACAGTATTATTTTGCCACAAGTCCTTACTATGGGAACAGTTACCAGAAGAGCAGTGGAGAAAACATGGTTAACAGCATCAAATGCGAAAAAATCAAGAATTGGATCCGAGTTGAAATCTAAGGTTATTGCTCCACCAGGGTATTGTTTTGTTGGTGCAGATGTTGATTCAGAGGAACTTTGGATTGCATCCTTAGTTGGCGATGCTATGTTCAAACTGCATGGTGGTACGGCGATTGGTTGGATGACATTGGAAGGTTCAAAAAATGAAGGAACTGATTTACATTCCAAAACAGCTAGCATTTTGGGTATCGGCAGAGGTGAAGCCAAGGTTTTCAATTATGGTCGAATATACGGGGCTGGTGTCAAATTTGCAACCACTCTTTTAAAGAGATTCAATCCAAACTTTACCGATGAAGAGTGCAAAGTGCGTGCAGAGAACTTGTATGCTGAGACGAAAGGAAGTGATGGAAAGTTTTACATCAACAAGGAACGACACAAGCTATGGTATGGTGGTTCTGAAAGTGTTCTTTTCAACGAGTTGGAACGCATTGCACAGCATGATCATCCGAAGACACCCATATTGGGTGCAAGCATCACCAGGGCTTTAATGGCAAAGTATTTGAATGTGAATTCATTCCTACCGTCAAGAGTGAATTGGGCTATTCAGTCGTCTGGTGTTGACTATCTACATTTGTTATGTGTCTCTATGAATTATTTATTGAAGAAATACTCCATCAAAGCGCGTCTTTGTCTAAGTGTTCATGATGAAATCAGATACTTGGTAAAAGAGGAGGATAAATATCGTGCTGCTATGGCATTACAGATATCGAATATCTGGACTCGTGCTATTTTCTCTGAGAATTTGGGTATGAAGGACCTCCCACAGTCTTGTGCCTTCTTTTCTGCTGTTGATATCGATCATGTGTTGAGAAAGGAAGTTGATATGGATTGCGTGACTCCATCGAATCCGAATCCGATCTCACCTGGGAAGTCGCTAGACATCTTGGAGCTACTCTCGAAACCTGAAAGTAGCTTGGGTGTTGGAAAAGACTTGAAGTTGACCGAGAAGATTGTGCTTGAAGTCCCAAAGCATACACATGATACTTTTGATAACAGTAAGGAAGACTATTTCTCATTGAAGAATCCACTTTGGAAGGAGACGTATCTCAAAATGCAAATAGCAGACGATAAGGAGCAGTTCAAACAGATCTACAGATCATATAGTGGTGAAGTTCGTCAACAAAGGAAACAGCGCTCAGTGGATAACGATGTGTTCTTCGAGAATTCGCCTGGAGGGCTAGCTAACACCGTTACAAGACAATCATTAACCACAGCTCCTGTTGATGATGCCATTCCGTCAGCACCACCAATGAATAAGGAGACAAAGAAACGCAAGTATAAACGAAGGGAAACATATGCGGATGAACTGAGGGACATTGCTAACATGCTCACGGAGTGTGATATCGACTCTTTGAATCCAGCGCTCCCGCGTAAACCTTACAGGAGAAACTACAATAGGAAGTTTGAAAAGTTCCAGAGGCATCAACCAGAGCGACTGTCGTTTGAAGAACTTGAGCGTTGTGCACCTGTTGGTCCCTCATCTAGAAAGACATACGGGCATGTGAATGACTCTCAAAGCTTTGATCCGTTTGACCCTAGCGTCTTTGATCCGTCTGTTTTCAGGGTACCTGACAAGGGAAATATAAACAAGAAACAATCTGGTCATGTTGAAGAATACAGTGAGCTCAGGAACAGGATTTACACCAATCCTTCAGCTGTGGAAGCATTCTTCAATGATCAGCCAGTACCAACCCGACGAACTTCCCGAGTCCGCCATTAATTGATACCATATTATTACGATTATCTAATGACACAACATCTATATGACACTAGGCGGGTTTGTAATGCATCCTGTGATGGCTTACGCGTGCTAAAAGTGGTTACAATGTTAATATTAAGTATATATAACGTGTTTTGAATCCCTCTTCCAAATCTCTATAGCGTATCGCAAAGTTATCGTTATCTCATGACGTGTTAGTAATACTGCATCATCCTATCTTAGTCGTTCTGTTTATGAGATTGGATTTTGTTTCTCCTCCTGCTCGTCTTGCTCATCCTGGTGAACCCTTCCTCTGTTCTGACTGTAATTGGACACTTTTACATAGACAAAACCTTCTTAAGAGCTCTGATGATAGTTGGTGGGTCTGGGAAGGCAAAGTCTTCCAATTCCTTAGCGTATGGTGTTGGAACCTCAGCACCTGTCACACGCTCAACTGGGGCATCCAAGTAGTCAAAGGCCTCGGACTCCATGATTTGAGCACAGATCTCAGAACCGACACCAAAGGCTGGGAAACCAGCCTCAACGGTGATCAGGTGGTTGGTCTTCTTGACGGACTCAATGATGGCTGGGACGTCCAATGGCTTGATGGATCTCAAGTTGATAACCTCGACAGAGACGCCAAAGTCCTTGGCCATGGTCTCAGCAGCCTCGAGGGCAAATTGCACGTTTCTGGTATGTGTAACAACTGTAACGTCGGAACCTTCTCTTTCAACCTTGGCCTTACCGATTGGCAACACGAAGTCTGGAGAGAGGGCCTCCTCAGAAACCTCAAAGGTTTCACCATAGAGCAATTCGTTCTCCAAGATAACAACTGGGTTTGGGTCTCTGATCGCAGCCTTGACCAGACCTCTGTAGTCTTCCGCAGAGTATGGAGAAACAACCTTCAACCCTGGAATCTGACCATACCAGGCACTGTAGTCCTGGGAGTGTTGTGCAGCGACACCGGCAGCAGCACCGTTAGGACCTCTGAACGTGATGTTACATGGCTGAATACCACCAGACATGTAGTATGTCTTTGCCGCAGAGTTGATGATCTGATCGATGGATTGCATGGCAAAGTTGAAGGTCATGAACTCGACCACCGGCTTTAGCCCGGCCAACGCGGCACCCGTGGCCAACCCGGTGAAACCCATCTCTGTGATCGGAGTGTCGATGATTCTCTTCTCTCCAAATCTATCAAGAAGACCCTTGGTGATCTTGTACGCACCCTGGTATTGCGCAACCTCCTCACCGATGACAAACACGTCCGGATCACGGTCAAGCTCCTCGGCCAAGGCAGAGTTCAACGCGTCACGGACCGTCATCTTGGTTGGTCCCTTGGTGGTGGATTGATTACGGACAGCATGGTGGGCAGCGAACGCTGCACTGACACCAGCTTGTCTGGTGGAGAGCCTGTGCTTTTGAGCAGCCAATTGCGCAGTCTTTGCGACCTGGGTGAACTTGCAAGCCATCGTACGTCTTATTCCAAGGGGTGATTGTACCTATCCAACGCTTACGGATGTGGTCTAGAAAGGGGGATGAAAGACTGGGTAAAAATTAAAAAAAAAATCACTTCAAGAGAGAGAAAGAGCCTAGGCTGAGAGATTTGCGAAACTGGCAACTTGGTCTTCTCTGCATTGGGGCAGAGGTGTCCTGCCCTCCCACGGAATCGCACCCACTGAGAAGCGGCCCCCCCTGTTTTTTCCTGCTGCGGTTTGTTGTGGGAGGAAAGCAGTGGCAGAGGGCACACAGAGGGCGAGGCAGAAAACCCGTGGGGAACCAGATTGTTGGTTGCTGGTGTGCGGGTGTTTTGTGTTGGAAGAGGGCGAAATGGGGCCAATTGGGGGTCCAGTGGATACTGGCGTACGCATTCGTGGTGGCTCTACGAGCCCCCATGGGTGGCCACTATGATTGGATAATTAGGGCCGTCGCAGCAGTCTGTTTCGAGGCCTTTTCACCGTTGTTGAGCGACCCACGCTGTGGTGTGTGTGGACTGAGATGGTGAAGCGAGGAGCGGGCGCGGGGGCGCGCCCGCGAGGAGTTGTCCTTCTACGCTGGAGAGATAGGGAAAACACACACACACAGGCCTAAACGGTTAAAGCCCGTGGGAGCCTTCGGTGGAGCGTTGGCCGTTTGGCTCGAGAAGTGTGCTTTTGGGGTGGTGGTGGTGGACGGGGTAGAAGGGGAAAGCGAGGAGGGGGCCTGCCCCCACGCCGCACGGTGCGCGAACGGTGAGGAGCACGCAGTGCTGTGGTGGGCGTGCTTACATAATGGTGGGAGTGCTTACATAATGGTGGTTTTGCTTACATAATGCGGAGAGCAGACATTTCTTACATAATACATTACTAAGCTCTTATGTAATGTGTCAAGTACGCGCTGCTGCGCGTACCGGGAAAACTGACTGGCCAATCAGGA